CCTTCCACTGTCACCGTTCTTCTCACCATAAAGCTTACGACGCTCATCGATGGTGCTCTAAAATAATTCTTACATTACATAAAGTTTAAAGCTAAATATCCAATCTTTATCATACGGGTTTTACTTCTCAGTTTAGCTGTGTTTTCCATCTATAGACCTCGTGACGGCCGGGTATACTTTTAAGAGCCTCACCAACTCTGCTGAAAAGCCTCGACCGCCCAGTTTATAAAAAATTTCTTGAGATTATGTTAGGCAAAAACACTAATGGGTTGGGTCGAGGCGCGTGCTAAATCGTTTGCGAGAAGTGAACCCACGGGAAAATGGAAAACCGCAAACAAGCTCTACGTGGCCATATTAGAGGGCCAAGAAGGGCGACGTCACAATTTCCTTAAAGCGAGACGGTCACCCAAAGTCTTCGTGTTGTCGAACGAAAAGTCTTCGCCCATAAAAACTCACCCCCATCTCGGTGTAACGCTCTCGAATTTCAACCATTCCCAAATGCATCTTGCCACCAAAATGATCAGCCAAGCGCGATTCATGGTCCATGATATTGAGCTAAATTTAAGGAAATTTATTTTGCTTCTTGAATACCACATACCTGTGCACCGCAGTCATCACAAACACGAAGACGTTCTAAAATTTATAAATTAAATAATATAAAGTCAATCCATAACAACAGACTGTATCAAACTCACGTTGAGAAGTCATTGGAATGTTCATCTTTCCTTCATTCTAAACAAAAAGTTCAATCAAAATCTATTTTGCTTGCGCTTTACCTTCAATTCGTTTTTCTTTTGTTCCAACTCCTCGACTTTCTTCGCGGTGCGCATTGATTCCTCAACTTTACCCTAAAATCTTCGAGATTAAATCAAACATTGATAAAGAAACCTGCGAGCCAAGTTCTTCAATTTCCCCAACAAGCAACTTGATTTGCTCCTCAATGTCAGCAATGCGTTTCATCTAAGCAGAGATTAATTTAGCTACTAACAATAAATAATTTCACTATCACCTTCACAATTTCAGCGCTTTCTCCGGCATCTCGCGTGTCTCGGTCGAGTTTGTTCTTGATCTTCTCAATCTCACCATCCACCAAGCGAATTGTGCCTTGCAAGATGTTGTAAAGCTAAAGATATTTGTTGAAGTTTTCTATATCTAAAGGGTACCTCTATGTCATAGAAATGATCCTTCTGTGCTTGAGCATTCTCGTAGTCAGCTTTGTGAGTCGGTTCATGCATCTTTCGACAAGAAACAAGCCCTTCCAACCTAAAAAGCCTTAGAATTAAAAATAAGAAATATATAAGCAAACCTTGTATCCCCCAAAAGATCGCCCGGACAACAACTTAGAAGATATGGTCTGCACACCGAATGATGGTTGTATAGAGGCAGATCTCTGCCTAAAATTGAAGCTCTACATTTGAATGAATGATAAAAAGCACCTTCTTCTTTTGCCCGCTGAGCGCCCATCAACTGGGCAATCGCTTCACGCATCGTGTCCGTCATCTAAATGAAATCATTACATAGATCAATACATTCCTAAAAATAGGCTAGTTCACAGAAAATTTCGACTTGCCCGTCGCAAAACAGACTTTTAAAGAGACCTTTTAGAACCGATTTTGAGATAACATTGGACTTTTACCAGAAAGATAATTAATTAAGCAGATGATACCTAATACGTTTATTTACAAACTAGATGTACAATCATGGCAAAAAAGGTTTAAGTATACAGTTGATAGAATTCCTATTGCTTTGGCGGAGCTTTGGGGGCAGCCACTCGATTTGGTGCAATCAGCCGTCCGTACTGTGAAAAAGGAACGATTATGAAGACTCCAATCGTCAATTTCAAACCCTAAATTGAGAAAAATTAAAAGAAAAAGCAGCTCAATCAGCCTCCAGACGTCAATGGTCTGTTGGAGCTGCAGGGCGACTCCTTGAGAAAGGGGGATACCAAGTCCATCTTTCATCTACAATTCTCTGTAAGCGATTAATTTAATAAATTTGAACCTTTCGGACTTCAGCCCAAAACTGAGCAGCGGATAAATCGGTGGCAACCGTGACGACATTGTTTTCGACTAAATCGATTAATCGATTGAAGAAATAAAATGAATACGATATTCTTCCACCAATAACGGCTCCATCATGCAGAATCTTATGATAGCCTTTTTCTCATGCGGCAAAAATTACTACTCTTCTGACCTAAAACAAACAATTGTTTTATTTACTTTAGTAAACTAACCTCCCTTTTTCAAGGTAATTGTGAAGAAAATCATCAATCGCGATTCCCGGCTCAGCAATAGCTTGTGGCGTAACTTCTAAATCTTGCATGTTGTCAAATCTCACAAATAACCTGGATTTGTGTCGCTTGTTTGAGCACCAATCGAGTCATCAGATAAAGCGTAACATTCGGGAATGATACCGCCGTCATGCTGGCAAATAGGGATACGAAATCTTCGCTCTTTAAACAAAACTGTAAAGAGTCAAACAATTGTTTCTACTATTTTCATCAAGCGGCGGCATGGAGCTGGTTTTCCTTTCCAAAACTCTATTGATCTCAATTAATTAGGAAAAAGCTACCTTTTCTTCTTCTTGCTTTCCTCCTTGGCATCATTGCTGGTTTTTCACTCTCTTGTCCTTTATCTGATCTGATGGTTCATAAAAACAGGTTCTGTGAAACTAAAAAAATAGAAACGCACACTTACCCAAACCTTTCACAGAAGCCAGCCGAGGCACGAGCAATGTCCGGGAGTTCCATTTGAATAACATCTTGTTGGGGTTAAACCCGAAAAACAATAAAGAGTTTTATGACTTTGTTGTAAATATTTCAACTAAAACAATTGAATGAAACTCTTGTCCAAGACGTACAAAGAGGAAAGTGAATTGGACTACTGGAGCCACCAACGATTGATGATAAACGCAAGACTGAACAATTCATACGACTTAACACCGTTTTTTTTATCCGGGAATAAAATTCAAAACGAGAATCTAAAAGAGGTAGTACAACATTGCTTCAACGGATCAGAAACGCCACTAGTCCGTTTTTGAGCTTGCTTGGTTTTTATCTTCTTGCCATCGTCGCACTGTCCGCCTATCTTTCTGTCAGCTTCAAATAATTATGTTTTTTGAACTTTTCTGTTTTCACCAAGGAGCGCGGAAAGTTGTTGGAGAACAAGAGGGTGAACAATATGTGTTATTTTAGGTACTTTACCAAAACCAAATCATAAAATCAAACATTCATTGAATATTTATTTGTAAAAACAACAATTAACAAAAAGCTAACAAAAACCTGAAACATAACAAAGAGCAAACAACGCGATTAAATTAATAGTGTTTAACGGACTGTCATCATCCATTTCATCATAACTTTGATCGAGGGGAAGGTAGTCCGCGAAGACAGAAGCATCAAGACGACCCTTCACACATTCGTCTGCAGGATTTCTTGCGTGTAGCGAGTTGGAAAACGCCTAAAATAAAAATAAAAACCACAAACTACATGAAATAATACGGAGAGGTAATCAGTTATTGATCAGTGCCACCACACTTTCACCAAATCTTCCACAATGGAAGGGAAGAAGCGGTCTCGCTTGTTGCCATAAATTACACAAAGTCGACTAAACCAAACATAAGTAAAGGTAAAAAAATAGACTTCACCTGAAAAGTCGTTCAACAGAAACCGAAGATCCGGGGACGCAACACCATTGAAGACCTTTACGAGCTAAGTCCGGCAAAAAGCCTTTATGGAGCATCCAAAATGGAGGCAAAGAAGTGGCGATGACGCCACTCTTCAATCGCGCACGATAGCTTCATATGTGGTAATCTAAGAATAAGAATAAGTAAGAATAATAATCTAAAAGCAACCTACCTGATCCTTAATTAATGGCGCTGAAGAGGAAAGACTTCATTTTGAACGGTGATGGTGAGGGCACTCTGCTTCTGCATCACAATACCCGAAATAAAGCGTAAGTTTTAGCAACGATTTGCAAAACCTAGTTCTGCTGACAGGATTGTTTTGACTTTAATCAGCTGCAAAAGTTTGAGGATTGAGGTAGGAGCTGACGCATAAATGATCATAAACATAAACGATCTCCCCAGTAGCACGAAAGCCCGAATCGATGCACATATGGGATGAAGCTCAATCAACTCGACGAGATACCTAAAAGAAAATATTATGACAAACCAAAAACCCATATTACCTGTGTATTTGTGTTTCTGCGGATTTGAAAAGGATATTGTGCTGCTACTATGAAAATCTTCGGCAGAAAGCTAAAAACAAGCTCCAATTGCGTACATCCTAACAAAAACTAACTAGTCGGTCATCCACTTTGTCACTGAGAGCAACTTTTGGACGATCATTGATAGTTGCATTGTCTTGTCGTCCATTTTTGCGATTGGGCTTTTTATCTTAATCTCATCTACAACCACTTTGTCTGCGCTGGCAATCGCTTGGTTCTGGGGCTCGGTCCAAGCGTCGGATCTCTCATTGCCTTTTGAAGATGGCTTTTCGCAAATTTCTTCGTGTTTTTAAATATTATGGCCAAGTTGATTGGGCATCATCAATTTGGCGCGAGTTAATGGATTCTTTGCGTTTCGGCAAGCAATTCCAGCACACGAAATCTTCGGCCAAAAGCTCTCTTTTCCTCTTCGCTCCATGCTGCACCATGCGCCAACAATTTTATTGGCACAGCATGTCATCTTCTCACCGCGTGTAGTGTTACATTAGCAGGCTGGAGAGGCATTAGAACAATACTTTTAATGCTCGTGCAGCGCCGTTCTGGCCAGAAATGTTGACAAGAGGAAGATAAACCCCACTTTGTTCGGCCCAAATTTCTCGGATTTTTCCTTGAGCTCCGGGTTCTTATTCTCCTTCCATCCTTTTGTGTGAAGCTTGGCGACGAGAAGATGGTGAACTGATCGTTGATCGTCTCCCGAGCTGACATAGACTAGCACCTTTTTGGCTATATCTAGCGTGAGGTCGTCTCCTGGGGTCCATTTCTGCCCATCGATGTAGACATAAAGTCGACTCTTTACCACTTCTGCTTCTGCTTTTCTCGCCACCCGCTCCCAAGGGCACCAAGCGTTCCACGAGTTCATCGGGGTCATTCTCGGCTTGAGACGAAGATTCAGCCAATTGCAACAAAGCCATTGTTCTAAACATCAAGAATTAGTATATAAGAATTAAGAAAGTGAAAAGCAATAAAAATTAAAAAGGAATAGTAAACTTTAAGGTGCTCCAGCTACAAAAGGATTTGGCGGGGCAGTCGAACAGGAAGTTTTGACTTGTCTGAAGATGTCTGGAAATCGGTGAAATTCTGAATTGAGCTTTCCCTACCGTAATCTTTTGTTTAGATGCGCCTGGTTCAACTCATCCCTAAAGTTTTCCCTACCTTAGCCCATTGGTTTGATACAGGCTAAAGTCCAGCATAGAAGTCAGTCCAGGTCAAGTCATTGGACTAGGTAAGTAATGGTCAGGCAGGTCCAGCCAGGTTGAGGATCAGGAACTAGAAAAAGTTCAGAATTTCGAAAGAGATTTTCCTTCGACTTTAACCTGAAAAAGTTCGTTTTAAAATATTCTTAGATATTGAATAAGACTTTCAACCTTCACTGAATCTGTTCATAGTTTTTATAAGAAGTATGACCCGTTTTTTGTTTTGCTTAAACGTTTGGTTCAGTCCTTGATCTCAAAGTCTTGATATATTTGTTTGGTTCTTTTGTAGACATAAATTTTTCAATCACAGATGATCGAAAAGTTTTATGGCCCTTTTCAAAAGAGATTTGTCCTTGCATCGGTAATGGGTTTGATGCTACTTTTGAGGAAAAGAAAGAGGTAGATGTTTGTTTTGAGGAATTCGAAATGAAATTGAATGCCTTGAAAAGATTTTGTGAAGTTCGAGGTGTATTAAGGAAAGGACTGCCGTAAACTGGCTATATTTTTGGAGGGTGTAACTGACTTAGAGCTTAAAGGCATCAAGCAGAGTACGGTAGTGGCAGCGTGTCGGACAAATACGGTAGATGGGGTACTGTAGTTGCCCGGGATACTGTAGCCAACAAGGGATACTGTGGTTGCCTTAAAGGAGTACCATAGACAACAAAGAATACCGATTGTAGCTGCCCTTGAAGGGCCTGAGCCTGAACCTGTAACAATTAACCTATGAAATCTCGCGTTTAAGCTTAACCAAGTCATCTTGCAGTCAAAGACATCTTGCAATCATTCACATACCCAAGATAAAGTTTGTGTTGTTGAAAAGTTTTTCTTTTAAATCTTTGAATCAAGAGATTTCTCTCACCTTTCCTCTCAAAAATCGCATCAATCACCCAGCACAAAATTTGTTCAATTTTTTTGGAAAAAGAAAATCTTTTCACATTCTTTTAACATTCTTTTAACCCTCCTCCTTGTCCTTGACTATTTTTGGGGCCAAGAGATTTTTTCAATTTGAAAAGTGACTCAGGAAAGAGTTGGATGAAGAGTTCCGAATCAAAAGAGAAGTGAAAACAGGTGGGAAAGATAG